CTCCCACGCACCCTTCATTCTTTTGTTCAAAAGAAGAGCCACACCCTGTTGTTTAGCAGTTTGCTGCCCCGAGTAGAGGACTGTCCACCCCTCATGGTGGCAGGAGCCAGAACCGGTCCACCGGATCTCCTGAATGCCACAGAGATCCAGGCGTTACCGGTCCAGCTCCCGACAGAGGAGTGGCAGCCTCTCCTCCGCTGTGAGCGTTCGAACATTCCACGTGGCCACACGAAGTGCCTTTTCGTTGTTTCTGGAGGAGCCCCGAGGGTAGAAATTTAATCTCCTGGCTCCGCCAATTGGGGTTTGGCCAGGAGACGTCATAGACACATGTCCCCCCGGGGCCTCCGGCACAAGCTTATTAGTTAAATATTTAAGTCGTGGTTTCGTGGTAATTTTTGAAGGTGGAGGGGTTACCAGCCCCTCGCACCCGTCCAAAGCCCCTGATTAGCCACTGTGGTGGTCACAGACGCCATGAGGGGAGAGGCCAATCTGAATTGGCCCTCCCCCCACAGCACTGTCCACGACAGAGTTGCCCGTCCGGCACCGCGAGGAGGTAGGGGATTGTTTTGTGGACACTCACACACACAAAAAAACCAAAGATCCCCCATATAGCCTTAACAGACTGTAGGAGCAAGTGTTGTTAGCAAGCACCTATGAAGGCCGGAACAGTACACGAGGGGGTGGGTGGCCAGCACCACGCCCGACCGCCTTTGTCTCCCTAGTGGCAATATTTACACACCACACCAGGTACTCATTTGAGGCTGAGTCGATCTAGGGGAGGCCCGGGACCAGTTCAGATAATCGTCACTGGTGTTGGCCGTGAGCGGGAATCGAACCCGTGTCGCCGGGTTCATAGCGCAGCGTAGCGCTAACCGCTACACTACCGCTCCCCACTCACTTACACACACTCACGTACACACACTCACTTACACACACTCACTGACACACACTCGCATGCACACAGACTGTAAACCTCACAACATTCACGCATCTATCGTCATGTACCTTCGTTCCCCTCCAGGGGCCGATGCAAAAGACATCTCCACACATCACGATGTGAATCAGCATGAATGTGGACCAGAGACGCGCATGAATTATATTTTGTATACAACGACGGGCGCGTGAATTGGATGTTACGATGCACGATATATTTTTTTGTATTTGTATCACGTTCAGAAAGCCCAACACCGTTCGGAACAACGCATTTCCGTGAGCGCAGTTAGGAGCGAGTGAGTCGTTTTGAGAATTGTGTTGTTGTTGGAAATTTGGTTTTAAGTAACAACATCGCTTAATTTTATTTTACCAGTCATGGTTGGAGTTGGGGGGGGGGGCAAAACAAATAAAAGACCCATAGTGTTGTAATTCGCTTTTAAAATGAAGATTGACTGTTAGAGCTTTTCGTGGTATTAATATCACTAAGTGGTTTACACTGTGCTTTGGTTAATCCCGCCTGTAATCTGCAGCTGTATGCTAATTGCACGGCGAGGCGCAGCGATGTTGAGCGGCGTGCGATGGCCGTGGTGTCGCGTTTAGCGGCGCTGCGCCACGGACCCCGGCCACCCGGGTTCGATTCCCGCTCAGGGCCAACACCGGCGACGATTATCTTAACCGGTCCTGAGCCTCCCCCTAGGTCGACTCGGCTTCAAATGAGTAAGCCGGTGCGGTGCGTGAAAATTGTCACTGGGAAGACAAAGGCGATCGGGCGTGGTGCTGGCCACCCGCCCCCTCGTGTGCCGTGCCGGCCTTCATCGGTGCTGCTCGCTAACAGCACTTGCCCCAACAGTCTGTTAAGGCTACACGGGGGGCTTTGTCTGATGGTCATTAAGCATACGGGGAGGGGGAGAGGGGATGGGGGGACCCTGTATGGTGAATGGTGATGATGGTGGTGGCGATGATGATGATGATTTTGTAATGGAATAAAAAAAACATAAAGATACTGAAGAATGGGAGAGACGTAAATCAGACTTGTTAAATAGCCAGGGGACAAAAAAAAGAGAAGCAAACGATTGTGTAAATGTGTAATGAATCATCCATAATAGACGCACTCTTTGCACATAACATTGCCATGCACTGTCTCGTCCTTTAGAACTGCCGAGGATATACGCTGAGATAAACTAAACGATGTAAAACAACACTTTGGTCACAATAGGACCATAAACAATTGATATGTCGTATAAGTGGTGCTCCGTTGGCCGAACGCGTTGGTTGTGTCGTGCAGGGATTTACTATAACGTGAACATCACATGAGCGGTGTAACAGCGGGGCTTAAGTGATGATGTAGAATAAAAAGACGAATTATGGACTGGCCGCACCTTTTTTATTTTATTTTACCAAGACTTGTAAAACGACCACCAAAAAATGTAATTCCCCGAGAAAGCGGCCCATTATTTACTGCCTTGCTTCACCATTCGTGAATTTACTTAAACGCTATTTTGCAAGGATAATGCATGCAGGCAATGTGCACAAATTACTCAATATATATATATATTTTTAACACTAAGCCGTATGATCACATTCAACAAAACACCTTCCATCTCGTATCTCCACGGTAAAAACAGTCAAATATCTTATAACCTATCCAGATGATCGGCCTTCCAGACTTTTTTTAAAATCAGAAGCATTTTGTTCAAACACGCAAACTCTGGTTTGGCTTCGCCCTTTTGGACTTCATCAAGCAGTAGTCGTACGCGCTCAACAAACATTGCGCCTGTTCCATCAGATGTCATTGGTAAGCGTGACCTCGCCGCAACATGTCCGGGGGCTTTTTGGCGAATCCGTTGCCTCCGCTGCTGGATGGGAGCCCTTAATAACCACGCCGTGCCGGGGTCGTGGGGGGTACATCGACTATACTTCGCCACGCCGGTCAGTGGCGGGTCGGTAAATGCGGGGAGCGTAACAGCGGTAATAGTTCTGCTGCACTGCCCTCTGCAAAAACAACAACAACAACGACCTAGCAGCAGTTGCAGCCTTGCTACATGTTTTAAGCACGGGTCCTCAACCGTCGAAGGATCCTCTCCCAGGCTCGTCGCTGCCGAGCGGCTGAAAATCTGGTGAGCTCGGACGCATTCAGGGCGAGCGATTTAGCCAAAGGTAAAAAAAACCAACCACCACCACAACACCGTTGGTCTCTTCTACCAAGAGCCTCAACGAGCTCCCATAGTTGGAGCGCTGTGGGTAATTCGGGATGTAAAAATCACCGACAATTTACCGAGGTTTCATGCGTGCGCGCGTTCCCGTGTTGATTTCGGACCACTCGCGGGGGATCGGGATTGCAATCGCTGCATGAATGAAACGATTAAGGGATTAGATGGGTAGACGTTCTTGTGTACAGTACACAGAGCGGTAAGCAACTTCTCTGTATCAAAGGCTCCGACGACAAAACGCGCGCCATCGACTGTGGGATGCACAAGGACACAGATCCACCGTGTAGCCTTAACAGACTGTTGGGGCAAGTGCTGTTAACGAGTAGCACCTATGAAGGCCGGCACGGCACACGAGGGGGTGGGTGGCCAGCACCACGCCCGACCGCCTTTGTCTCCCCAGTGGCGATGTTTACACACCACATCGGGTACTCGTTTGAGGCTGAGTCGACCTAGGGGAGGCCCAGGACCGGTTCAGAAAATCGTCATTGGTGTTGGCCGTGAGCGGGAATCGAACTCGGGTGGCCGGGTTCGTAGTGCAGCGCGCTAACCGCTCCACCACCGCTCCCCACTGTGAGACGCGCACACACACGCGGGCACATTCACGTGGTTGTTTGTTGTTGTTGTTAAAATTCCACCTTTAACAACCCGAAGTCTATAATGTGTGTCATTGGCGTCTTCGGTGGTGGTAGGGGGAGATAAAATGCCATGCGCGAGTCCCATGGCTATTGTTATTATTGCACAAGAGAGTCCTGCATTGAGGGTCTTTGGCCACTTCCGATCGTGAGTGAAACATCGCAAGAAAACGGAATTCTCGAGAGGGCGGAAGCTTCACCACGCACGCATACAAGGGGTTAACACTCAAAGCCCCGCACAGCGGAGATTCCAGTAGCCACATCCATTACCTGTGGGCTATCTTGCAGCTCAAGCCTATAACACCTGATATCGCCAGGCGGTCTCTCATCCAAGTACTGATTTCGATCAAGCCCACTTAGCGTTCATCATCCGATGGGTGTATAGGTGGTAAAGGCGCAGTGCCGCAATGTCATTCTCACGGCACCGCCGGCAGGAGGGCCTCCGCTCGAGGGGGCTCTAGAGAGCTCCTCTCAGGAGTGTTTTGGCCTACTCTTCCAAGCTGGCCAGACGTCTTAAAAGAGGTGGAAGTATCCGCACTTAACGTCACCGCACGCGACCTGCCGATCGACCACAGGATTTCAAGTTCAACAGCGCTAACCGTTACACCACGGTAGCAATCCTAACGGGTGTATTATTCAGGAGGGGTAAGTTGGCCGTCGTATAGGCATAACATTTTCACAATGATAACATCATCATCATAGTGCATCGAGACCTCAACAACGTCACCCCGCCGCCGCATCAAAGTCCCCGATGCCCCCTTCTGGGATCGCGCTGCTGTCACCATCCTGGAATCTAACCCAGATCCCGAAGAACGCTGGCAAAGGGAGTGGAGCGACGCGGACGTTCAGAATAAACACCTCCTCATTCGAGAGCCAAACATCATCGGCCTTGACATTCCCCCTCGAAGACACTGGTGGTGGAACCCCGGACCGTATCAGAACATCAATAAGCGGATGCGCACATCTCCATCATAAAATTATAATTAAAGACACAAGACAGTGCGATTGTGGCCACTGTAGTCTGCGCTCCTTCAATGTAAGAACAGCAAAACTCCACGAAGTCTCTCCTGAAGGGCCCTCTCGTCGCGGCTAACAGACCTCCACATCGCCATTTAGCTCCTGAACGTATTGCTACACACGCAACACTTTTTTCTCTCTCTCTACAAGCCAGCACCGGCGAACACGAAAAGCGCTCGCACACAATGACTGGTGAGAGAATCTCTCGCTCTTTATCTCCCTCCCTCCTCCCTCGCCACACCCTGCCTGCCTGTCGGTGCTGTGGGTGCGTGCGGGAAGGGAGGGAGGGACGGAGGGAGGGAAGGAGCAGGGCGGTGGATTAGCGGCGCGGCCGAAGCGGGGCCCCGAGCTCACACAAAGCGGCGAGCACGCGGACAGCTCCGGTGCTGAATTCGGCGTGACGGGAGGCGCGTGGCAAGCGAGCGAACAAGCGAGGGGAACGTTGCACTCCAGCCGTACTGACATATTGCGCAGAGGTAATAAGTTGGTTGCTTCAAGTGACGACGACGACGATGATGATGATGTTGATAATAATCCTACTTTTAAAAAAATAAAAAGAAAACCCACCCCACGTGTGCGTCACTGGACGACACGGGGAAACGAGAAAACATTCCGTGAGTGATGCGTACAACTGTATGGTGGAATTATGCGCGTTTATTTCACGACTTAATAGTGATTTGCGAGGCGTGGCCCCCAGAGCGAGTGTGGATTGGAATACGATCATCAATCTCGCCAGCCAGTGAGGCTCAGCAGCGTCGTTCTATCTAAGCCGCCCGTCCGTCTTGGGAATCGGCGCGGAATAAATTGCTGTAAATAAATTGCAGGCGCACGCGAACAAGAAGCCAGGTCATTTAGGATAGACGGAAGGCATTTACTATTAACTGTATACACGCCCCGCCCGCTCATACCCAAATTTGACATCTGCTCCACCCATGCAGCTTAGGCTCATTGTCCTCATTGGCTGTTGCCTTGCTACCATCTGTGACGGTGGTCAGACAAAGACAAGCATTCTCATATAAGAGGTGATGAGCACGAGAGATGCTACTACACAGAAGGACTCGAGCCTCTGCTCCCCTCCCCACGCGTTGCTACAGCTTCACCTGCATGCCCCCAAAGTGCTTGGGCTAAACCTGCAGAGTGTTGCATACTGCGAAGCGATTTTTTGGGGGGGGGAGGGGGGGGGTGCAAGGGTGCAGCAGTGCCTTAATTTACCCTTAACGGTGCCTTGCACAAACCACGTCACCAAGATGCCGAAAGGATTTTTAGTGAAGAGGAGCAAGAGGGCCAGTGCCATGTCTTACCGGCCCCGTGCCGGTGAAGACAATAGCTTGAGCCCTGCAATGTGGCTATCCCCGCCAGACAGCACATACCCGGTGAACCTGGGCACCACCTGCACGGCCGTGGCCCCTCTGCCCTCCAGCTATCCACCGCCGTGCTCTTCCGCTTTCTCTGGCCGTGACCAGGAGCCATCTGTGGGGTTTGGCAGCCCGGACTCTGGCTATGCCTCTTACAGTCCCACCAGGGCCGTGAGCCGAGAGGACGCGGTGTTGGGTTCGCCAGCGTCGGCTGCGCCCTATCCCGGCCAAAGCGTCTTTCCTAGCCTCGAGCAGATGCTGCTGGCCGCGCCTTCGGCTCTGCAGCCAAGCAACGTGGAGCTGAAGCCGAGGTCGGGCCTCCCGAGCAGCTCGCCCACGGTGGGTGCCAAGCGGCCCTCGCCCGAACCCGCCGAGCGCAAAAGTAGCAAAGTGGCCGCAAAAAAGCCCAAGGCGGCGCGGAGGTTAATCTTCGAGGACAACGTGACCATCTCGCCCGTGCTGGGGCTGCGGATCAAGGAGGAGCCCGTGGACGCGAAGCCCAGGTCCTCCCGGCCCATGGGGGGAGGGTACGTGTGTCAGCTGTGCAAGGAGGAGTACGGGGACCCGTTCGCGCTGGCGCAGCACCGGTGCTCGCGCATCGTTCGAGTCGAGTACCGCTGCCCCGAGTGCGACAAAGTGTTCAGCTGCCCGGCCAACCTGGCTTCCCATCGGCGCTGGCACAAGCCGCGTCCCAGCCCAGCGAGCGCCACGCCAGGGGGGAAAGCGGACGCGGAGGTGCCGACTGCTGGGACCGCCGCCGCGGCCGCCGCCACCGCCGCTGTTGCTGCTGCTGCTGCTGCCGCCGGCGCCGCTCACAGCGACGTCTCAAGCGACCGGGAGATGCCGAGCCGCGCCTCCACGCCCTCGGAAGCCGGCTCCGAGGACGGGCCCTACGAGTGCCCGCGCTGCAGCAAGAAGTTCCGGCGGCGCGCCTACCTGCGCAAGCACCTGCAGAGCGTGCACGAGGCGGCCGTGGTCGAGGCGGTCACCTCGTCGTTCCCTTGCCAGCTGTGCGACGAGGTGTTCTCGGTCCCCGAGGGCCGCGAGCAGCACCTGCTGGAGCACGGGTTGCCTCGGAGCGGCGGTGCCGGCGGCGGCGGTGGCGGCGGTGGCATTGCCTCGGCGTTCACCGCGCAGGCGACCTACGTCTTGGACAGAGATGGTGCGTCCGAGCAGCGGCTCGCCCTTCACCCACGGGACCTCTTCCCTTGCAAGTTCTGTCCCGCGACATTCTACAGCTCCCCGGGACTCACGCGCCACATCAACAAGTGCCACCCATCTGAGAACCGCCAGGTGATATTGTTGCACATGCCCCTGCAGCCGACTTGCTAGGCAAATTAAAAAAAAATGGAAAATTCGTCGGAGCGCTTGTCACGTGCCTTGTCGATTTCAGAGAGAGAGGGAAAAAAAACGTCGTATAAAGCCTTCGTCGAGACTGAATGTTCACAACGAGAAGAGTTGTTGGGGACACCGCTGACTGACCTCCGCTCAATTAAACTCTCTCCTTGAAGCGCCGAAGGGTAATGGGAGCATTCACGGTACTTAACAAGGTTACTCAGCTTTTTTTCCCCCTCCCGTAGCGATTAGGATGCAGTTATAGCACGAAGCTTTTGTAACACTGTCGCCTTAGCATATAGAAAAGCCAAATGTAGGTTACGGGAGCTCTTCACGATATTACTTTTCGTGGCTTATTAATGTGTGTAAATATTTGGTGAGAACCGCGTTTTTTGCTATTTATAGGAGAGAATATTAAATTAAGCGTAGTAACTGTATTTTATTAAAACAAATATTTTGTAATGTACTTTTCTATAGATGTGCTTAAATATAAAGTAGAATGTACTATTTTTGCAGCTTCGTACAAGTAGAGAAATAAAGTTTTATCTATCATGTTTAGGACATATCGTGTGCAAATCGTTGCAACTAGACACAGGCCCACGACTTTGTACGCCGAATGGCTATTTACTTATTGCAATTCACGATTAGAGGCCCTATTTTTAAAACGCAGTTTTGCTACTGTTTTTTGTGTACTAGATATTCTAGCCTTCCAAAGTGTACATGAAATGTCACCGCTTAATTACGTAAGTAATTGTACTCTTGTTTTACAAGTTTTATTGCGGAAAGCAATGTCTGTTTTTGAGACCCGTTTGTATAGATTTCGATTCAATAAATTCCTGTCCTGTTGCCCTGTGTCTCACCGCAGATTTCATTTGCACTGCAAACCGACACAAGACGCGCTTAACGTTTCACATTCAACACACACATACTACGTACGTGTTTAAAGCGTCAGCATTTACACTTTGGCATTCATCTATGAAGGGAAATTCAATTGATGGCCTGAAGTAAAGATTTTTTGAAAATTTACTAATGAATAGTTTACAAACAGCAGGTGACCTCTGCACGGACTCTCCGTTTAGAGAGCGCATCCTCTCATCCTCCTGCCACTCATTCTTCACCCCTTCAAAGGTGAACCCCCAGACAGTGCAGCCTCCACCACACCTCGCTTCCCCGAGAGGGAGGGAGGGAAGGATGTTAGAGCGAGAGGGCTGATGGAGAGACGCAGTGAGACTCGGGAAGCGCTAGATTGTTGGTTGGAACGAGATTTGATTTAATGCTATTACGTAAAAGGAGAATGTATGCACGTGAGCGGAGAGCGAACGAAGATAAGTTACAGTTGTAGCCCTTTTGACAATCCATGCTGAAGGGCTCTCCACGGCGCGTCGGTCGAGGGGATTTCACTATATTGCACCACAACTGTTTTTGCAGGTTGGTGAATGGGGCCCCTGGGGGAGGGAAAGAGAAGCACCGGTTGAGATATCACTCTCCACCGATGTTAGCCGTGGCCAGAAATTGAAGGTCACGAGGTTCGTATAGCGTGGTGCAGTAACCTATCCACCAAAACAGGGTACCTTTTGAAATTACATCGAAGAACGTGTCCAAATGTTGGAAGTTAATTACGGTGATGTCATTTTTGTTGTTAAACTCATTACAAAAAAAAGCGATTGCTTGGTCATATAGATCTCAGAATGAGAATATTTGTTCCAATATGTCCAGACTAATATTTTAAAGAAGCTGACATGCCCCCCCCTCCCACACAAAAAAATGGCTTTACGTCATTTGCTTGAGATTAAAAAGCACCAGATGGCCTGGGATTTCACCGTTTGTGGAAACGGGCACGGGACTCGCACGATATCCTCACAGTGGGCGCAAAGGGCTGATCGAACATGACAACCTCCACCGCCCACCGAATTCTTCACCGTGAGCGAGGGCAAAGCGGATATCAGCGCAAAATATTTTTACATTCAGTGCCGCGTGCATGCAGATGAGCAAAGCAAAACTCGCAACACAATAAAAAAAAACGTCGACGCAATACGTGAAGCAAAAAAAAAATCTACAGCAATTTTGTCCCTAAGCTTTCAATACCCCAAGTCTCGGCGGGGGAGCAGGCATATGGTCGAGTCTCATATTTCAAACTCGATTAACATGACCACATAAGCCCACTGATGCGATGTTTTCTGTGCTGTACAGTTTGACAATTTTTGACTGGCATAAAACCAAATCATGAGAGCAAATCAAATTATGGCAGTACGAGAAATTGGCAGAGCGATATGAAAATAGGAATTTGCAGATTAACTATTTCGTCTGGCAACCAGTATCGACTGGTTTAGGCGCCAATAAAAAAGGTAATTACTCAGTCTCAACAAATATTACGTTCCACACGACGCACACAGTTATACACAAAAGCAGCGTCGTTAAATTTGAAATAAAACTGTTTTAATACACGTGACGGATGTGTATGTTTGTTCTCCTCCCGTGGCTACTGCAGAGAAGGAATTGTAAAATTACATCAAGGATGGCCAAATGACACCACCCCTATGCATAAAGAAACGGACTCTATCCCAGAAATATGATTCACACACACACACACCAAGGACTCACAATAACGCCTGTCATGTGACCAAGTTGTTTTTTTTATTGCATTTCAGATACTTCATATTTATTAGAAAACATACTGTGCGTAAATCCTTCTGCAGAGCTTGCACACAGTTTAAGGTATCTTAACAATAAAGACATTTGTTAATTGAAACAGTCTGCTCATTTGCTTTAGTGTACGTAGAGTAGTTGATATTCTGGTATATCACACGACATAATCTACTATCGGAAGGAAATAAATATTGCGAATAAAGAAAAGTTAATTCGTTTTAAAAGTGCACATTCCATTATTCTTACCCCTAATCAGACACCTTCTGTACGGACAATGCAAATACGGACAATGTGTCACAAGGACCACAAGACACAGAGCCTTGCATGTGACAGCTTGAGCGGTGGTGAATGGTTCACATGTTTGGGATGAATTATTATTGGTTTTAATCTTTAATTTACTTCTCGCCGACTCTGTAACCCAATGAAAGTGACACGTGATATGCCCAGTCACACATTGCTTTAGTACTAGATATATATAAGGCAAAAAAGCGATTCGGGTGGTTTGATAAAACTGACGAGCGAAACAAAAGATTGTATGCAGCTATAAAGGACCAGCCTTAAGAGTGCCACTGTCCATGGTGCTGAACAATAAACCCCAGTGCAACTATCAAACGCTGCTTACACAGTGTGCACTGACTAGAGACAATCACAAAGATGGGTTATACCGACACATAAATATGATGTAATTGCCAACTTGAATGAGTATGCATTATTAATTACGCTTTAGTGGTTTGCTTACCATAAAATAATTTACTCTTAAAAAAAGGCAATATATGCTTAGCTTTGGTACGAATTATTTTAATAAAAGTAAAAAAATAAAGGAAGACAGCTGGAATGTACATCTTACAATCAACGGAAATAGAGTTCGTAAAGGAGATTTCTCGCAGAAGAATAAAAATGCGCACCAAAATTACTTCATATGTTTAATCATTCAGAAACGGAAGCTAACGCGCACGCAAAAAACAACAAACGAGCCCGGGAAAGGGGGGCCCCCTCCCCCGCTCCCCTCCCCCGCTCCCTTCAGCACCGCAAACCTGCCGCGCAGAGACCGGACGGAAACGCAAGAGGGGGAGAACCGGCCACGCCGGTTTTGCGGGCAACAGCGGCCGTGGGTGTCGTGCAGGCTAGCGGCGGAGGCTCGTCAGGACTTCCCGACCGCGCCCGTGATGCGGCGCAGCCTGCCCGTGCGCCGGTGCTTGCCGAAGGGCTGCGCGTGGGCCTGCTTGGAGACGCTTTCGGCGCAGTCTGCCTCCTCAGCGGGGCTGTCCACCTCTCGGCTGGTGTCGTGCTCGTTCGCTGCAAGGCACGCGGGCGAGAGCGAGCGAAGGCGCGCGAACGCGCGAGAAGAGCGGTCCAGGTGTTAATAATCTCGTACGTACAGCGCTGGCGACAGTGGGGGGTTCGCCTTATACAAACGGGTAAAAACGCAACGTAATTAATACTACAATTACAACTGCTGGCTGCTTTTGGCGTGTGCGGTGAACAAACAGATGCTGCTGCTTTGGTTTGCGCCCACTGGAAGCGCTTGGATAAACAGTGCCGCGGCCGGCGCTACAGCACCGCGCAAATCGGGGACCAACAAATCCCAAAACACAATTCGATATCAGGCCATGAGACCAAAGTTTCTGACAATACCAGAAGATTAGTGAAGTCAAGGCGGTAATGTATTATGGATATTCGTTATACATTTTTAATGGCCATAAACAATGAAGTCTGCCTTCAAAGGCCAGCGGTTAGATAATTCCAAGCTCCTGCGGCCACTTTCTTCTTTTGCTGTTCATCCATAAACTACCGCGAATTAATCAAGCATCGAGGGCGCGAGAATAATTTACGCAAGCATCATGTAATTTTGAGCAGCTTTCAATGAGCGTCTCCGAGTGGCCCTCCGCGGAGAAAGAGCGGTTGAAAAGCGAGGTGCCCGAGGTAGGACGGTCGCGCCCAGCGGCAGGTGCGGGCGCGTGAACGGCATCAACGGAGGCATGCGGGGCACTGTGCCTGGCAACCAGCAGCCCCTCGCTTCGCGGCGGCGACGTCGTCCGGGCGAGCGAGCATTATCGACCGCTCATCTGAAGATACTCTCGCAGACGCGGGTCTCGGCGCGCAGGTTGTGCTTAGTTTGTGCACCCTCTTCTTCGAAGTTTACCTTTTGTTTTCTTGAATTCCCCACCCACCCCCACATCCCCCCCCCCCCCCCCCCCGCGAAGCCTTATTTTGTTGGGGTTGCGGTGAATCGTATTAGTATACAAACAAACAAAGCTTTCATTAGTGGCCAATCGGGTTAGTGCAGCTGAAAACAAGGAAGGGAACACGTGCTCCGTGTGGTACTGGTTAAAAATAACAAAAAGCTGGAACAAAAGCCGGTTAAGGAGAGGAGAGCTTGGCAGTGCGTGGCCCTTCATGAGCAACTCGGCCCTTCTCTTACCTTGTTTTCTGCTTGGGAGAAAGGCGTTACGAAAAATGATCTGGGAAAAATCAAAATTTAACGTAAAACAAATACAGCTACAGAGGGCACCGGAGTGACAGCGGCGGCGCCCAACGCAGTCACAAGGGTGGCGAGCGACTCCCGCACGAAGGAAGCGCCGCGACGAGGACAAAACTGTGGAGACGGCGCAAATCGCACCGCTCGCGACGCCCACCTGTTATTGTCACCTCGCATCGGCCCGCGGCTCACGCCGTCGTGCCAGGCTAAAACCGCGCGAGTTTTTTTTGTTTTTTTTCCCCAGCACAAGAGTAACGACAACAGGGAGGACTGCGTCACCGCACCTATAAGGTGCAACGCACAAATGCGTGCTGCTTAAACGTCACGCCCCTTTATTTAAGACGCAAAAGCTTAACAGTAAAGCGATTTTTGTTTTTGTACATGCGAGAAGTTACATCGGTAGGCCACTATTGACAAATTCATTTTGCGAACATCAAATAGAATTACGGTAATCGTAACCTTGCGTGCTGGGGGGGGGGGGGAAACCTCAGCGCTTGGCTAGAAGGACGCTCTTTGCGCCTGATTTTAATCCCACAGGTCAGCTCCTTACGATGACAGGTTAACCAGGGTTTCTCTCGTTTACTTTGGACAAAATCAGAGAATGCGAAACAGGATCAGAGATGAAATGTAATCAATATGTATTTTCATGAACAATTAGTAATGATTTGTGGATTCTTGCAATGAAAATAAGGAAAGACAAGAGACCACCCATCTCAAAATTTCCACTCAACCCATTGCATCCCATGATTAGTCATCCATGCTGTAAACCAGCCAATATAAACATAAATACAAATCAGAGAGAGGGACTCCGCACTCTAGCACGCTTGTGTGAACTGAAGAGAAATGGGATTTTTTAATGCCACAAGACCCCAAAAATTACAGCCTTTGTACGTCTAATTCATCTCTTCGCTGGCAAATAATGTGCATCACAAGATATAGCACCGATTATATCCTTCAACCACCTGCAAAAATTACTTATGGTAAAAAAACTAGTGCCATCTCTTATTGCAATGCCAAAGACCTCGTGATGACGTTTAACAGTGTTTAAACTTAAATACATTACATTTATTCACAATTCACTGTGATAAATTATGATTGGTTTGGAAATTAAATCTGACGTCTTCAGCAAACCCGTTTTTCACGAATCCAATTTAATTTTTTTTCTCTCTCTGAACTTGCAGTAAAAAAAAGAAAAAAGTTTTTATTGAATAGTTTTCGTTACGATGTCTCTCCTGACAGATCCACTGGCATTTCCGCTGGTAGCGCCAAAGAGGAATGAACGACGCCACGTTAGGTTCCCGCCACTCTCATCACCGCTGTTGGCCACGCCGCTGCCATGGAGCATCGGACATGGTGGGGGGGGAGTGGGGGGGCATCGCGATAAATTTTTCCTCTCCATTTTGTCATCCCGTTTGCATCATTTCTTAATTGCTTTGTCTCGATGTACATTTGTTTGTTAGCCCCATCAAGATAAATGTAATACGTGGATATCATTTGCGTACAAAAACACCAACAAAAACGCCGTCTAGTACTACACACATGATCTCATCCCTTGACGGTGCATCTCAAAAGGCAAAAGGACAGCGCTGCAACTGCTTGCTCACAACATTGCTACAAGGAAGGGCCTCCACTAGAAGAAGCTGGACAGACCCCCCCCCCCCCCCCGGAGGGTATTTGGCCTACTCCTTCAACGCTGACCAGGCATCTTAGAAGAGGGGCACCTTCTGATAGCAAAGGATGCGTCGGGTTACACCCCCATTGGACACATACCACAAATATAAAAGGTGCACCTTAGGGGGGAGGGGGGGCATGTTTAAGCTAGTTTGTAAAGGGCCCCCGTGGTGGCAAGATGGTAACTACCTCGACTGGTATGCACGAGGTCGCGGGTTCGATCCTGACCCTGACGCGTATATTTGGAGTTTGTGCGTCTGTCTCCCTGTGATCGCGTGGATTTTTATCAAGGTCCTCCGGTTTTTTTCCCCTCCACATTTAGAATCAACATACGTTTAGAATATTTGGCTACTGTTATAATTGCCTAGGCGAAAAGCCACTTCGTTGGGCGACCATTTGTGGCCAGGTCGATTCTGGGAAGAAAAAAAAAGTCTTTAAAGCTCAGTGGGCCTTACCTGGTAAAATAAAAATAGTATATATATTTTTTTTATAGTTTTTAATTACCCCCTCTATGCCCCACCCTCCCCTCCCTCTGCGGAGCACGACTCGAGTTCAGGCACCGTGGGGTGTGCGGGTGGAGGTGCGTGGGACCAGTGACTCCGTGCGGGCGCCACTGCAGCCCTTACCTGCTTCACACGAGAGCGGGCGGCACATGGCGGGGCTGTACACCTGCGCAGCCAGGTCCTCGAAGGTGCTCACCTCCCGCTGCTGCTTCACGATGGCCTCCAGGTACCGCGACCGCTCTTCGTAGCTTGAGAGTGAGCGGTGAGCGGTAGGGAAGGGGGGGGGGGTTCCGTCAAGGAAGCCGACAGGTGTGCTCGCTTGCTCTCTCTCACTGCCCCCCCCAGCGAGTATGGTGAAACGAGGGGGGGGGGGGGGCCTGCAGAGATTTTCCCAGCGGGTGCTCTGCCGAACACAGCGCTAGGGCGGCACGTTCACCGCGAAGCAGGAGAGCTTTGGCGTCGAGTGCCTGAGCGCAGACTCTACCTGGCCACCTGCCTTTCCCCTGCATGTTTGGCGTTTTGCCCGTTTCCCTTCAACATTTAGCAACGCGCATTTGGATTATTTAAATAGTTTTTCTGCTGTAAATGTTCACGCGATAAGCCCACTTCGTTGTGCTATCATTTGCGGCCAGGTCGCTTCTGAAAGGGAAGCTAATAGCTCAGTGGGAAATACCTGGTAAGATAAAAAAAAAAAAACTAGTTATTTTTATTTGGATATATTGAAGTGATTTGTTTGCCTTTCCTATGCGTTGCACTCCTATCGTGTTTTTGCATAGTTTGCTGTAACCTTCTGACTCGCAACCTCCTGGACATCAGCGAAAAAGAGCTTCATAGCTCATCAGATTACTCCAGGATAAATATGCTGATTCTGATTACGGCTGAGAATGATGGGTTAGAAGAGATGATTAGGGTACATTTAAGCACCGCACACAGCGAGCAAAGGTGAAGAGAGGAAGTGAAATTTGATTAATTTTAAACACGTGATATTTACGTCATGATGCCTCACTGAAACAAAAAAACTATCGCTCGGCACACACATTACACGCACACGGTTATTAAACCATTTGTGGTGAAAGAATGAATTTGCACGGTGGACGCAAGCGAGTGAACGTATTGAGATCTGCTTATTAAATGTATGCATGCTCACGCGCATTATATTGACGTTTCGGTACGGCAATGCTTAACATCGACAAGCTTAATGTGTTGACATATGATTCAGAGCTTTCGTACTTAAAGCATAATATAACCACATTTCCTTTGAATTTTCTGGTGATGTTTTTGTTTGACTGCCTCCGTTGGAAATAACACATTGTATATCATAAAGAACCATTACTCTCTTCCATCGTATTGGCTCACTATTTCACGTTATGCAAATCAGTGCATTCTATGAATATGCAACAAAAATACATTATTAATAGTCTGGGCAAGAAACTCGGCTTTTTGCTTTACAAAATGTGCAAACGCAGCTGCACAACGATTTCTACAAATCTCCATTCGTTTGCTCACAACAACAACAAAACGTGTATTTTACGCGATGTTTAATTTTGCCCGATGCATCTGCAGGTCTCATTAGAGGCGTCGGCATTGTTGCTCTTGCCGGGACAGACAGTGCGACAGGGGCCCTCCACGGGTCCCTGTGGGGCCGGCGCAGAGACAGATTGAGATGTCACGGCTGGCCGAGGAGCCAATGAGTGGAGAGCCCGAAGGGGGCGGGGGGGTGTGGGGGGGGGGTGTTCAGAGGACAGTCGGGTGGACGGACGCAGAGAGACGGCAAGAGGGGACGAGCGATTAGGGCCCATGAGGATGACACCTGCCAAGCGAGAAGACAGGACACGCCACGACGTGCCAGCTGAACCCCCGGCTGACCGAGCCTGCACGTGCATGCTTGACCTTGGAATTGTGTGGGGGTTTTTTTTTCCTTCTTCTTCTTCAGACATTAGTATATTTACGGTTGGATGCTGGGCTTGAAATCGATCTTTAACGAAATTACCCTTCCACCCCACCCACCCCATCCAGCGATTCGATTGTGTCACGATGCAGGAGTTGGAATTCGATTAAAAAACATTTTTTTAAACTCGGTTTGACATTCTTCATTCGTCTCGTTTGTAAAGTTTGGTTCACTCAGACAGTAAAAATGTTACAATAAGATTACGTTCGTAAGTAATTTGCACGATCCGATACACGTATCATAATCGTATGGATCGATTTTCATCGAGATTCGATTCATTGTTACATGTCAAGTCAGAGCCACACCCTGCTGCCAACTACTAACACATGGCAGCTAGCATTAATTTCCATTGCCAATTTGAGGGCTGGTCATCAGAAAACGTCTTGAAAATGTAGTTCTCATCAGGCCCCATGGCGAGATGTTCACTACCTCGCCTGGTAAACAGGAGGTCGTGGATTCGATCCCGACCCTGACGCCTGTTTATTTGCAGTTTGCGTGTTCTCCCCGTGACCGCGTGGGCTTTTCTCCGGGTCCTCCGGTTTTTCCCTCCACGTTTATAATGAACATGCATTAAGAGTATTTGGCTGCTAAAAACGTCCACGTGATAAGCCACTTCGTTGAGCTATCATTTGTGGCCAGGTCGCTTCTGAAAAAAGAGCTGTATAGCTCAGTGGGCCTTACCTAGTAAAATAGAGTAGTTTTAGTTTAGTTTGTCAAGTATATTCTCCAACTATTACCCACTTTAGCTGTCTGGCCTATGTGCTATGAATAAGTGCCGTTTCCTGAAATGTGCCCTATTATATATCTCCAAATAAGGCAGTGTTTACCGACGATTTTGTTGCGTTTATAGCATTTATTTCAGGTGGTTAAGCCTATGCCAAGTAGAGTGCCCGTGCCAAGTCGAGGTATTACAACTATACAATTGTGTATTGTGTTGGGCTAGGTATCACAGAAGGCACTCGTGGTAAAACACGCAACGGCCGTTCAATCATCAATGCACGAACATATGTTACACACTCGGGGTCATCGAAAAGTCAGAGGTAATTAGACTCACGCTACGATAATTTATTTCTGTTCTTGCTTCGCGCCTCTCACCCAAGGCTCTGACCGTGTATTTTTGGCACCTCAAGCAAGCGTGCTGACACTTGCCACGCACACTGGGGTGGCTTGGTTGAACAGGAATCGGCATAATCGTGTGCCGTGTGAAGATGTCCCATTAGCAGCTCTGCGTGCCGTGTACGTTTGTGCGTGTGTGTGCGCGTGCGTGCGCTCGTGGGGAGCCGGTAATGCAGCGGTTAGCGCACTGCGCATTGGACCCGGTGCCCTGAGTTCAATTCTCGCTCACGGCCAACATAAGTGTGTGGGAACGGGTCCTGGGCCTCCCCTAGGTCGACTCAGCCTCAAATTAGTACCTGGTGTGGTGTGTAAACATCGCCACTGGGGAGACAAAGGTGGCAGAGTGTTGTACAGGCCACCGACCCCCCCTTGTGCCGTGCCGGCCTTGATAGGTGCTCGCTAACAGCACTTGCCCCAACAGTATGTTAAGGCTATAGGGGGGATCTTTGTCTTTGTGCGTGCGCTTGAAGTATGATTTGCAGGGTAGTGGTAAAATATCCCGAAAATGGCAGTGATTTTTGGCTTGCTTACAGATCACGACACTTCATAACAACTTAATCACAGCCATTTGTTGGTGATGGCAACTGTTTGAACATACTTCTCCATGCTGGTCAGGATGGGTTTGGGTAGTGGTGTGGGGTGGTGGAGTGGGGTAAGGACCGTTTCAGATGTCGCATATCATAGCCAGGAATCGAACTTGGGTGGCGAGGTTCACAGGATAGCGCGCTGACCATTGCGCCACTGCTTATTTAAACTAGAAGACGAGTACATTATGCATGCGGCATGTCGACATTAGTGCTGAGAGGACAAAAGCGGCTGGGTTTGGGTAGTGACACCACAACGGTGCTGTGTGTGAAGTGACAGTTTTCATCGGCGTTCATTGATAAGCGCTTGTCAAGAAACGTCAAAGCGGTAAAACTAAATGATCGCCGTTGTCTCTGTGCATGAGTGAATGCTATTCCTTGATTTATATCATCCCTGACCCCCATTTGCAACAGATTTTTCTCTCATTTAAAGCAAATTGACCCGAGTTTGGGTTAACGCGCACGATTATCGGGAGACAGTATCGACCTTGTGTAATCTGCCTCTCGCTGCGCACGCCTGCAAGTCATCGGACGGGTATGGATTTTTCGACAGAAAGAAAGCCGTGCGACTTGCTAATACGGCCGCAACTCAGGGGGATGCGCTTAACCTTAATTCAATACAACTGCTCAGGAAAGTTCTCGGGAGGGAACGAAAGCTCTTTGTCCGTGAGTCGAAGAAGCGACGGGCAACTGTGTTTTTTTGTTGTTGTTGTTGCCCGTGGTCGTTTGTTTGCTCAGGATAAGCGCTTTGCCTGTCCATCCGCCGGCCGGCGTACCGGCCGGCCGCCACGTGAATAAAGCAACGCTTAATTTACCGCCTTCCGCCCGCAGACAATGACGAAATCCCCCTCCCCCGAGGCCTCGTTTGGGACGACTGTCGCCGCGCCGGCTGACGGCGACGTGACGGGCGGGGGCCCGGGCGGGGGCCCGGCCGACGTGGCCTGCGCTGGGCCGGGCGCGTGTCGCGTATCACGCACGGGCGGGCGGACAGGCGGGCGGAGGCAGCCGGGCCTGGCTCTGGGAGTAGCGCGACAAATCGCTGAAAGAGGCAGCCGCAGCGGCCACCTGAGCCACGCGGCCGGCCGGGGGCTCCCCGAGTCCCCACGGCGATCTCGGAACAATCGCCGCCGATTCCCCCACGTGCCACCGTCGCCGTGGCACACGCCGCCACCCTCCCCCAAATATATAACCCCCCCCCCCCCGCCGCTCCCCCCCCCCATCACGCCTCCCCCGCCGCTTTCCCTGCTGCCTCCGAAGTCCCTCTTTGCTACGTGTCAGGGTTTTTTTTTTTTCTCGAGCCGAATCCTCTGTGCCACCCTTCTTCATCGCTCGCATCAACAAACAGCGAGAGGAAAACAATTGTCCCGCACTCGGGAGGATTGCTAATTACGCTCGGCGTTGACAGAATGGCTTATTTCTCCACGTGTCCCCCGAGCCCATCAAGGCCCATTCTGCGCCAGCAGGCCCCACAGCCATCCACGTGGAGCACAAATAAGAAGCAATCCCCTCCCCCCCCCCCATTAATTCGTTTAATTTCATTTATAAACCTTCGGTTTTTTTTATCTCAATTTTAAAATCACCCTCAAGGCTGTACTTGATG